CTAGCTTGATCTGTTATCTGTAAACGTTCCCTAAATCTACTGATTTAGGGATAATCCACTGACATCCTTTAATACACATGTTAATTTGAATCAGATGTACTGATAATATCCGCAATATAAATCTTTAAACTTCTTCTTACCTTTAAAAGTCCGTCACGAACGGTTATTACGAACTGGCTTCCGGTAACTGCTAGAATCCACTTCAAGACACTGGTACTTGCTTACCATGCTGCGAATGGATCTGGCCCTTCCTACATCCAGGACATGGTTAAACCGTACACCCCAGCGCGTGCACTACGCTCTGCATCAGCCAAACGACTCGTTGCGCCCTCGCTGCGAGGGGGACCCAAGTTCCCATCGGCGAAAACACGTGGGTTTGCTGTCCTGGCTCCAAGATGGTGGAATGAGCTCCCCATTGACATCAGGACGGCAGATAGCTTGCACATCTTCCGGCGCAAACTGAAAACTCATCTCTTTCGACTCCACTTCGAGCGTTAGAACTATTAACGAAGCACTTTTATACTAATAAAGGACTGGCTTACCTAAAGCCAGTTGAGTAGCACTTGAAATGTTTGGCTCTATGAAACCTGATGTACTTATATGATTCTGTTTTCTTCAAGGTTGTGTCTTCCTGGTCGAATGTACTTATTGTAAGTCGCTTTGGATAAAAGCGTCAGCTAAATGCAATGTAATGTAATGTTATTATGCTGCAACTCTACCGCTCTGCTAGCCTTGGCGCTAACTTCCGGGGAACGAATGAGAGGCTCCACGATCCGCCATTGCTGTAAAAAAGTGGTCCATTGGAGTGAACGGAGATGTCATAACTCTTCTATTATACGGCTCTGGTCTTGCCCAAGGACACAACGGCCTGACGCAGTGGGGCGGGAGCAGGTTTCGAACTGGAGTTCCCCAACGCCCCCTTGATCTGATGATCAAACGCACAGACCACTGCGCCACCGTACTTCTGTAGTCCTATTCAGCCACTTGTTAACAACCGTCGTTTTTCAGACGCGTGAAATCACCAGCGGGGTCACTGCTGATGTATTTAATGTCGTAGAACAGAACGTGATCCGTCACTTAAATTTGTGTCAACCACAGACCTTTTTTTCAGCTATTTTCCAAAATCCTATGGAGAAATCCCGTTGACTCTGAGACAAGGGAACCGGAAGTAAAATGCTAACTCACTTCCGGGTTTTAGGACTCGTCATTGCACTCTATAGACACAACTGGATAGAATCAGGGCGTTGCAAACTAATACAAAAAGGCGGGGCATACAAAGACAGGAAGTCAAACCAGACATGACACTATAAGAGTGATTTAATAAATTAAACAGGAGAAGGAAAAAGCATAAGCATAGATCATAACACAGGCAGTTTGCTTATGTCTGGATCATTATTCATGGCTCTACCTGTTGCTTTAGTCCGTTATTTTTGATTTAATTTATGGCATCCGGAAGCTTTGTGACATCCCCTTGGATCCTTCATTTTCAAATATGTTCACATATACAGTACATTGTATACTGTACATGGTTTGTCCATGTTGAAATTGTATTGCGTTGTTTATTCTGGAACAAGATGTCTTTCACGTTCTTGGAAAGGGATCATCCTGAGTTTTTTTTTTCTCCCCATTAATCGATAATATATTGATCCATATGTCTACCCTACTTACTTATACCCAACAGCTGGCTAAAACCACCTAATGTTGTACAGATGCAGCCATCATAGATTTAGCCCTGGTCAACAATCATGGGTCCATCTAGAAAGTAGATCCTGTGATGACGCAGTGAATGCTGGGTCGTAACGAGAAACCATCCAGCAGATTGGGCAGTGTTTACATAAGCTGGAGCGGTTTAGACCTCTTTAATCAGTGAATCTTATCTTATTTCATGAGAGGGTTTGCTTCCCCGACACAGTATACTTCTAAATTATTATCCTCATGATTGTATTATGATTATCACTTGATGATATAATGCTGACACTTGTAAGACCTTGATAAAGATTTCCTTTTTTTTTTGCATAAAGTGGCTAAATGGTGATACTATACCTTCCATCCGTGACCATCCTCAATAACAGCCTGTTTAAATAAGTCTTCACTCTAAAACACACACAGACACACACACCTTGACTCAAATGTAAGCCCCCTTTTCGAGACTCAAAGACATTCTGCCACCAACAGCTAACTTGAATGTGTAGTGAATGATTTATTATTAATAAAACCAATATTTTAATGGACTGAAGCCAGTGGAAGAACAAACCCCTTTTATTAAGACTGCCACTTAGTCACTTTAAGATGATTTGTGTTTATGAATTGTATGTTAAACTGTGTATGGTGAGTGTTATTCTATCTTATTTGCCAGTGCCAAATACTGTACACATTTCCATTGTATGTAAATGTAATGGACAATAGAATATTCTGAATGTGAATTCTGTTCATAAGTTTTGATTTAATGAAATTCGAAAGAACCGCATGAAAATGAAAGCAAGATTTACTAGGTTTATTACGTTTCCTCCATCTCAAAAACTCTTAATGTTTGAGTCTATGGATTTCCTCCCATGGTGAGAATCCATAGCAAATGTGTGTTGGAGCAGGAGAAGACAGCTGTTAGCGATTGGAGCAGACAAGAAATAGGCAGGATATTTGCCAAGTGGTAGCAAATGTACAGTGAAGGTTTCACTTTTATGAACAAATATATCTCCCACAACGCCTGCTCAAAAAATAGCATGCAGTGATCAGTAACCAGGATACTGGTATTTATCCTGTCAGCTGTTGTAATTGGTGGTAGTTTAGGACATATTTGAGGCAATAGACTGTGATACTTCTACATAAATTGGACAATGTGATGTGTGAGTTAAACATGCTGCACATTGAACCATGCTGTTACAGTACGGTTGCCAGGAGCGGCCGAAAAAAAGGGTAAATTCAGTCTGGCAGCATTTATCTGACATGTTGTTGTAATGTGAGCATATCTAAAGCTCAACAAAAAGCCTAACGTGTGAAAGCACAATAGTCCATTTAAAACAAATGCAGGGGTGACTGTAAAAGTGTAAATCTCAGCCTTTTTAATTGCTGTGCTACAAATCAAACCATACAATTGGTTATACTTGAATAAACACTATCATTTATGATTAATCCAATCTTGAGGTGACAACACAGTTCCTTTAAATGCCCATATAAGTTATTTTGAAAACGTATATAAGAAGTTGTTTAAAGCATTTATGTAAGGGAACTGCAATGGTCCACATACGTTTATGTATGACAGCTAGAACAATTTAAATTCAATTCCATCTGATGGTGTAAATTGCCTTTTGTAAGAAAGACTATTTTGTAATTGTGGGTATATTTTTGTGTTTCCTTATTTTCCAACAGCAATGGATATTCTTAAACTCTTTTAATGCAAGTTTAATCAAAGGCTTACACAATTCAATATATTTTGTTTTAGATATGCACCCACCTAAAGCACCAAAAGTAGGAGGGTCCTACTTCCAACCCCAACCCTAACCTGAACCACCCTTCGGCCACAGTAGCAAGCTAGCTGCAGCCGCATGCGCACCTCTACCAAAAAAAGAGCACGTTGCATATGAACTCAGGGCCGGCCCGTAGCGCTGGCGTTATAGATGTTCGCCTAGGGCGCCAGATCTGTGGAGGCGCTGCGCTGGCAGCTCTGGGAGGGAAAAAAACATTTTTGACCGTTGGGGCTCATCCTAATTTTCTGCCTTAGTATAACAATATTCATAATTAAGTAAATGTAACACCCTTTTCATCCCGGTTACACTTTTAATTTGCCCTGTACGATGGGCGCTGTAAGTGATGAAAATGGGGGATGTTGGCTTATCTGGCGCCCGCAGCTCACAGCCAAAGTGCGAGTGAGGGAGGGTGCACCGGTTCCGGCGCTGTTGTTATTAGCATCTGGTGCTAGCTGCTCTAACGGATATAAGAAGAAGATGTTTCTACAATGATGTGGAGGGAGAGTCCTCTCCAGTCAGACTGAGAGGCTGATAACTACAGCTCAGTGAGGTAAAAGACTCCAAGTGTTTAGATAGTTCACTTTAGTCTAAGTTATCTCAGTGGGTCTCAAACGTTTTGATCACAATTTATGTAAACACATATTTTCAAGGCACTCCTTTATAATTATTGAGATAGACAGGTTTGAAATCATTCCAATGTAAACTATAGGACACTAAACCAAAAATATCCTTTAAAACTGGAAAGATTAAAAAAAATGCATAAATAAATAAATGTTAAGGTAAAATAAGATATGAATGAACAACAAAAATAAAATAAGTTACATTAATTTGTTATTGGCTATGGTAGGTTATTGGTTATGTTCACATACTTATTTGATTACATCCACTTGTCTAAGATGACAACAGAGACTTTCGACCCAAACCCAGCTGTTGACTTGTGGATGCAAGCAGCTAATCACAGACTCAACCAGAGAGAAAGTAGTAGGCCTACATCATCAGCTACCATGTCTGACAGAGAGGAAGACAGTGAGGAGAACAGTCAGGAGGGTAGTGATGACAGCTTGTAGGATTACTGGTCGTGCTAATGTTGTCTTGTGTTCACCTCTGCATGTGTGTTCTGTGTTCACCTCTGCATGTGTGTTCTGTGTTCACCCCTGCATGTGTGTTCTGTGTTCACCTCTGCATGTGTGTTCAATGCCGTGTGTCTGGCAAATAAAGTCAAGACCCCCTCAAAAGTTACGGTTTATTTCATTTTAAGGATGAGCACCAAGCAACATCTCCAGGTGCTCCTTTGAGAACCAGGGCAAAAAAGTTATGTGCACCCCTGTCTATAGGCATATTTTAACAGTCATGAGAGAGTGGAATAGAATGCCAAAGTTTGTGATCTCGAAAGCCATCTCTGTGATCGAGGTATGAAAACATTCTTTATGTTCCTAAGTGTTGCCTTTCAGCCTTGAGCTGGATAGACGCAAACATTGATACTAACCTGTCTGTCAAGGAGGCATGAGTGTTAGTTTTATGGTGTTCATGTGTGAGTTTTCGATTCACAGCTTTAATTTGATCCAAACATTAACACACACATGTCAAGTATTTTTAATTAGGAAGTAAAGACGGATCTGAAACCAACATCCACAGCCAGTGATGTAACATCAGCGTACATTTTTCTTGCAATTCTTGTATCTGACACATGTATCGAGTTGATACATGACATCACCTGGTCTTTCAACTTTTCAAAACCTCTTCATCAGTGACACACATGCATTCTATTATAGTCTCAGAGATGTTATAGTTGTCTACTGACTGGTAGAGTATTGTTGACTGTAATAGTCACTTGTAGTTTGCTGTTAGTTAGGATTTGTTTTGCTTAACATCCCTACAGAAAATTATATTAAACACTTGGATGCTTTTTTTTTTTTTAAATGACTCAGCAGTTTAAATTCTTTACAACAGAGATGCACTTATTGCAGAGCAAACACACTGGCTTGCCCTCAGTGATTTCAATATTCACATATCTCTCAGTCCTGATGCTATTTTTGGCATCCTCATCAGGGTTGACGGCCACATTGAGCCATCTGTTATCCAAATTCAACACCGGACGCTTGCTAGCCAGCTAAATGTGCCGTTACTTCTACAAGCGCATGTAAGGTGGGCTGTCGTCAATTATGCATGTTGGGATTGGCTGATGACTGACAGCTCAGGACACCCTGCCAATAGAGTGGCGAAGTCACGACCATCGACTTCCGGTCCATGGGACCTTATTTCGGAAAAATTATGTAGGCTGAAGTCTTTGCGGTGTGTTCCAGTGCGAAATATGGCCAAGACGCAGGAGATGTGAGGCGACGTTCCGTCGGGACGTGTTCTTTGTTGTTCTTTGGTGTCAGTTTGGTGTGTAAGAGGCTTAAGAGTTGAAAAGGCCTGGTCTATGGTTTAAGGACAACTTAAATAGTAAACTAGCAATTATATTGGTTAATTTTTTAATAAATAACAGCCCTATGAGTCAAAGGGGATTGAACCACAACACATTTTGTTGAGTCTGGTTATAGTATAAACAAGGGGTTGGCCCCTCACTGGCTTCCCGCCTACCAACATTTCAATTGGGTGAACAGATGCCAACATATTTCAATTGTTTTGACATGTTAGTATGGATGGCAGACCTTGAAAAAAATGTAAAACGGAATGTGAATTGAATCCCTTTTGTCATTGGGATATCACATTTTGCATCAATGCTGTAGACATGTTACAACCTTTTAAGGAAACTCTACCATATACAACATGATCCAGATGGGGCTGCTCCTAACTCGCAATTCCTATTCTTATGTTTTTTTGTCGTGTGAGCATGCATTGTGTAGCAAATTAAGACATGGCAGATGTTGACAGGAAGAGAAACGCCAGACCTGCTCTGGCAACAATTTTGTCAGACTTTGTAAAGATGAAGAAGTAGAGCATTTAAAGTCCAAAGTTCCATTTGACTTTATTGGCTGCATACCAGCTAAACAGGAATGATTTTCTGATTAAAATAGTTCAGGGGCCAATAAATAAGTACCTCCTCTCACACTGATACTGTACAAGGTCAAGTACAGTATCAGCAACATACAGGACCAGGGATGAGCTGACAAGTGTCCTATAGAAATGTCTTTATAACATTTGCGTTTACCAAAGTAAACCAAGTTTACCAGCCAAGTGTCAGTTGATGCTAGAGGCCATGAGGTTGGCAGAGTTCATTCATGGCCGAAGAAACGTTGTATTTATGCAGTTCTGTCTTGCTGTGCTTGTTCAGGATGGAGACAATGGTTAGGGGAAATTGGATTTTAATTGCCAAATACCATTAATGTGTCTTTGGTATCGACCCTCTGCACCAAAGTCCTTCAGCTTGCAGAGTTCATGTATCGTCACAGAAATGCTGTATTAGCATCTTGACAGAAATGCTGAATCAGCATGTAGTTCAGCTTTTTTTAGCTTTTGCAGGATGGAGACAATGGAAAAGACATGTTTTACCATCATCCAATAACGTCTCTGTGCTATTGACCCTTCTTGTCGGGCTGCAGCTAAGAACTTCAGCTGGCTGCAGAGTTCATTTATCGTCACAGAAATGCTGTATTTCAGTTTCTCTGTGCTTGTGCAGGATGGAGACGATGGATTTCCATCAAGTTTCCATGTTATCGTCCATTCTTGTTCTAACTCCAATACTCTCAGTACTCCCTGGCCTCTTTAAGCTCTGTTTGGAATACCTGTTCAGTGGGGTTCTCTAAACAGCTCAGCCCATTGTTAGGCGGCCTCACTGAGTGAAACAGACTCCAGTCTCCCTTGCACAGGATCCAGGGTAGAACATCCACCTTATAATGAAGTTCTGGTGAGAACTCAGTACTGATCAGATTGGGTGCTCCTGCTCCTTTCCCTCGTGTTATCAGTTTCAATTGATCGTCGTAGCAACAGTGCTGAGCGGCCAGCGTGGTGCTATCGTACGACAGCATGGAGCGGAGGCAGAATCTGGCGGAGGGTTTGTAGATGTCCAGGCGCTCTTTGGGTCCGCTGGCGTCCCTCCAGCGATAGGTCTTACGGAGTGGGCCGTCCTGGATGTTGACGGCGCTGTAGACGGCCTCTGAGGGGAAGGAGCACGGGCAGCTGGGCAGCTCTGTCAGCATCTGGTGCAGGTACATCTCCAGGAAGTCGTTCTTACAGCTGAGCCACTTCTCACAGCTGTCCACGTCTAGGTATGGGGATTGGAAGAAGTTTGATTGAATTAGTCTTTACATTCTTATAATTATTGGAATACAATAACCAGTCAGATATAGAACGATAGCAGGTAATTGCAACTGGAACCCAACAAGGAAATGGCAAAAACAAGGAAAGTAATACACCATTTCCCTGCAGTAACTTTCCAAGAAATAATTTCAGGAACTGTACAAACAAATGTGGGGCTTTCTGGTTTATTTTGCTATTAACCTGAATTAGCTTAACAACAGGAATGCGCAAACTTCCATTTTTCTTTTAAGAGATCCTTGCTTGAAACACCAACGTTCATGGATAGTTAAGAGAACATCAAGGAAATCCCTTTGAAGGAAACCTTGGAGAACATTTACATGCACAACAACCTATCTATCACACTACATAGGGATAACCCTAAAAAGTGTAAAAACGTTTTTGTTCATTGTTATATTAAAAGCTTCTCTCTATATTTGCTTCCTATGGTGGATGTGGGTTAAGAAGGAAAATGTCAGACACTGGATTGTGTTCTCCTTTCCTGCTCTATCTCTTGTTATGTTTGCAGAGTGAAGAGAACTATCGTGTACTCTGGCCGCTGCCTGCAGCAGGAGAGCAATAAAATGGAAACTAAAAGCAATTCAAACGTTTCTGGGAGGCAGGGTTGCGGTTTCATTGTTTCTCTGACATACTCAGCAGTGCAGCTCTCAACATGGGAGGTTTCTAAATATCAAAATCAGAGGTTTTTCCCCACCACTGAATGGAACATAATGTTTCATATGCAGGTCAACATACAATATAACATTTATCCAGAAACTCAATACGTACTTGTGTCCAGGGAGTCTGTGCTGTTGTCCTTCTGGATGGGTGTGGGATCACTCACTGAAATTGCAGTGTCTATAAGACAAACAAAAAACGAATTGTCTTTAATTGTGTGTTGACAAACATACTGTCATTTTACACTTTAATGAACAAAATAGGAATTGTTTGTTTGTTTGTAGCCTTTATTTAACCAGGTGAAAGCCCCTTGAGATCAAAAGATCTCTTTTTCAAGGGTGACCTGCAGGACATTAGTTACACATGTAACGTAAAAACAACAGAACAACAATAAGGATGACAAACAACATAATGTACAGGGTACAGTTTACAAACTCTATTTACAGAGACAGGTACCATGAGTATCAAACAGCATGTCACCCAGCTGAGTTTTAAAATGATGCAGGGGAACCAAAGTGCTCAGTTTTAAACATGTTTGCAGACTGTTCCAATTTAGTGGAGCTGCACAACTAAAAGCTTTCTTCCCTAAGACAGTCCTAGCACTTGGCACATTTAATAAAACAACATCATGAGATCTCAGGCAATATGTACTTTCAATTCGTCGAGAGATCAGAGAGCAGATATAAAAAGGTAGTTTACCCAACATGGCTTTGTAAATGAACATGTACCAATGACTGAGCCTCCGTACAGTTAGTGAAGGCAGACCTGCCTTGGCATACAGGGTACAGTGATGAGTAAGTGCTTTACAGTTAGTAACAAATCTCAGGGCACTGTGATAGGCGGCATCTAACTTTTCCAGGCAATGGGCAGGTGCATTCATATAGATCAAATCACCATAGTCCAGCACAGGTAAAAAGGTCACAGTGACTAGCCTTTTCCTGGCTTCAAAAGAGAAACAGGACTTGTTTCTGAAAAAGAAACCTAGTCTAACCCTCAGCTTTTTAAGCAGGTTATTGACATGAAGTTTAAAAGTAAGACAATCATCAAGCCAGATACCTAGGTATTTATAACTGGTAACCACTTCAAGTACTTGTCCTTGCATAGTAACAATATCTAAAACAGGCTCTGGTGTCTTTTTAGCTTTAGAAAAGAGCATTACCTTGGTTTTATCAACATTTAAAATAAGCTTAAGTTCAGCAAGCTGAGTCTGAATAATGTTAAAAACAGCCTGTAATTTAACACCAGCCTCCTTAATGGAGGGACCTGCACAGTACATCACGGTATCATCAGCATAAACATGTAAAGTAGCTTCATCCACATTTTCACCTAAACTGTTGATATATATAGAGAATAAAAGTGGACCTAAAACAGAACCTTGAGGAACACCATTAGCAATGTTTAACCACTCAGAAGACAGCCCATCAAAGTGAACAATACTAATAATAGTGGGTGAATCTGTTTTTTCAGGTTTGGTTTTGTCTTTTCCGTTAAAGGAAGTTTTCCTGGCTGCTGGTTTGAAAAGATTATTGATACCTCATTGTTGAGAATACGGACAGATTTAACCTTATTTCCGTCATATAGATGTTTTCATACATTGCCAAAGCTGGAAAACAATCTAGTGTACCGAGGTAACTGATGTATATGTTGTGTTGCTTTAATGCACAGTGTTTTTTAATTCATCTAAGGGGGAACCACACTTGGCCCACACTGGGGGTAAAAAATGACAACAATGCAATGAAGTAAAGAATGTCTGTTTCCAAACCATAGGTGTGTTAAGTTTCATTCAATGTTTCTCTCTAAATCCAACAAATGTGTTGAATATTCTTGCTTCTATAAGTTTTGCAAAGCTCCTTAAGTCTTACTTAACTTTTAAAAAAATGGTTGCTTCCGATAATATTATTACATCAAACAATACAAAATCTGATATGTAAAATGCTGTTGCCCCTTTTTTGTATTAAACACCTTGGCGCAAATCATTGTATGCTGATGATACCTTTAATTGAATAGTTAAAAAGTCATTTTCTGCTGCTAAATCTGGATTAAACTGAGATGTTGATCATTGGCTTTGCTCAACATAGACCAGTTTCAAGGGTTTCTTCAAGTAACAATAACTCTTGATTACTGTGTGATTTTTCATAGTTGCTGCGAACGTGATTATGATTTTCGGTGGTTAAGATTCAAGAACCTGTTCTTACAAGTTTGTCAGCATGCTTTAAGGACAAGGGAAGAAAGCAACATTTACATCACCCAGTTAAAGCCTGTTCAATCTGGTTAGGGTGGTAAAGACTACTGAGAACATGGTTTTGTATTATTATGTTACTGGTATCTGTTGTGTACTCTCAAGTCTTGAGTGTTGTATTGGTCTCTCTGCTGTGTTTCTGAGAATAAAATGTCTTCCCTGGACAAATTGTCTTTGATCATCTGAACTGAATTGGCATTCTTGTTCTTCCTCACTTAAAAAACACAAAACTTGCTATCACTAGTTAGCTTAATTGCATGGGTTGCAGTGGCTTGGTAGCTCATCTAAAATTGGAATTCATGCCACTTCTTATCATATCCGCTATAACAGCTGCTGTTTTGGGTGATAGTTGACCTAATTTAAAACATTTTTATGTTACTTACTGGCACAGTCCTCCAGGTCACACGTGCGTGACTCCGTGGCCGTACATGCGTAGCCACAGGAGCGGGTGCGTTTCTGGGTGCCGTTTCCACATGTGACGCTGCAGGGAGCCCAGTCACTCCACTCCTCGTACTCTGAGAAAACACAGGGAGAAGAATGAAGGACAGACAGCGCACAGAGAGGAAAAACAAAACTATAGAGTAATATATGAAGAGCGGGCTTTGAAGTTAGGTTGTGAATTCCTCTCCCAGCTGGTGTATGTGTGTTATGTAATTAAGGAGAGCAGAAAAAGGGCCAAGTAGCGACAGCGTGGGACCTCTGAGACACGCTGCTCTGTGTTTAAACAGTGCTCGCAGGAGGAGGACTTCAAAAGCCTCTTCTTGCAGTGAGAGTGATGACAACTCTATGCTAGCAAAACATTTTATCAACAACTGAGCCAGAATGACTTGTTTTTCCTTTCCTTTTTTTCTCTCTGCAAAAAGGAGCTTAAAATAACAGTGTTAGATCATATGCTAACAGAGTAGTAGAGTGATGACTTATTTTTGTAGGCTGACCCTGAATTTAGCATCACAAGGACTCCCTCAACGAAAAGCAATGGGAATCCATTGGAATATTGCAGAAAATAAGCTCTGTCGCTTTATGATAAGTTTATGATATTTACACGTTTTGTTCGGCAGGATATTCTCCATATATTTAAACCACTTTCTAATTGTTGAAATATGAATGAAATCACGAGAAATAAAAAGTTAACGCTAGGCTACAAACGAACTACATCATGACTCGTCAACACCGCTAAGCTAAAGGCGGCTAATGTTTGGAACGATGACCGTAAGCAATTTACTCACTTGTTAGCAACCGCTGTTTTATAACACAAAGAAGGACATTTATGAGAGGGGTATTTACTGTAGTGTAAAGGAACAAAATGTCCACAATTCTTGGGTACGAAAAACACTAAAATAAAAAAATTCGGGTTTTAGGACAGTTTCTAGTGGAAGAAAGTGCAATGCCCTTAAAAAAGTAAAGGTCTGGGACAGTGGCGGCCGGCCCATAGGGGCGCTAGGGGCGCCTCCCCACCTCTTCCCACATACAAAAAAATATATAAAAAAATTAATTAAATATATATTTAAAAAATATATATATTTTATATTTTTATTTTTAATGAACAAGGTAAATATCATACAATTGGTATCAGTAAAATGTATAATCTACAATAAAATCTCGTTTCAAATTGTGTTACGATGTCTAAAGTTACTGATAAGTCACATGTTTCCTGCCTGGCCTTGCCCGTGGCATTAGTTTATCATTACCGGGCACCGTGCAAGGAGCCCCCGAGCCAAACAGCAGCAACCAGCACGTTGCAAAAGTCTCAATAGTAAACTGTGCCGCCGAAACATAATATCAGCCAATCAGCGCCGTCAAATATTTTGGTCACGAGGGCGCTCACGTTGGCGCCCACGTTGCTTACGTGCGTTGACGTGAGTTGTTTTTTAGACTCGTGAGTGACCAAGGTGTTGGATGAGTTGGATGAGAATGGCTTCGTGTGCAGGTGGAGTCGCCGGACCTCGGCCCCCGCCCAATTCCGTTCAAGAGCTAATCTCCAATCCTTTCGAAAGGAGAAGTTTGGGAGATAAACTGTTGCTTAAAGACCTTGGACCGGACCAACCCGATTTGTATATATCGCAGCAAGCTCGTGAAAAAGACAAAACGTATCAACGAGGCTTCTCACGTAGCTGGTACACCAGAAAGGCATGGCTAGCTGGATGCAAACAGGTAAATGCTGTCTTTTGTTTCCCATGCTTGCTCTTCAAACAGCCGGGGACAGATACGATCTGTTCAGAAACTAGACAAAAGTTAAACAAGTACAAACCACAGACTGTCTGTGTCATGGAGAATACAGTCGCTGGTTTATTTATGTCTGTATATGCCGTTGTTGTGAGTGTGGACGGTCAGAGCATATATAACGTTAGCTTAGCCAAGCTCCATTCAGAAAACAAGCATTCTAAAAGGTTTTTCGCCTGCCGTCTGTCTTCAGACTTGTCAAAGCATTAATTCATGGTTTTTACTAACCGGTGTCAGTACGTTGTTACGTCGGCATCATTTAGAAACGTGTATTACAATTTAATCACGGTAAAATATGTTCATTTTGTTGTAGTTGTAGCTCCCGAGCCAGCGCGTCTTGTTTGAATGATGCGAGTAAACACAGCTGGCAGCCGCGGTGAAACTCGAGCGACTAGAGCGATGCGATAGGAGCGTTTAGAGCGAAGCAAATATTCGCATCGCGTTCGGTCTGAATGCAGCATTAAAGCGAGCTCCGCGCTGCACAAGAAACGCGCCATTAAATCACCAGAAGTCCTAATTTAAGGGGTCATTTCTCCCCAAAACATTTTTTTACTCACTATATCAACAGCCTAACCCTAACCAGCCACCAATGGTCTGGGAGTATTCCCCTGTTCCACACAGAAGATAATGATGCTCTGTGACCAATCAAAAATGACATTCTATTGGGGAAAGTCATTAGGCTCAATTCCAAGTCGAACCCTACACCCCCTGACTCTTTGATGGTGAACTCCTTCTGCAGTCTCTCTCACAGCTGAACGAGGCTCATTCTTTAAGGCGGAACGTGTCAATACAGATACGGAAAGAACTCTACAAACACATACAGCGCTGCACATGGTCCGGTAGGGCAGCAGGTTAATCAGGACAAATGCAGACTCGCTGTTAAGAGGGTTTAAGATCGATTTGGAACGGCTCTTAATGTGGCGAACACGCAGACCTGCAAAAGGAGTAGAAAGTGGGGGGGGGGGGTAGCGGTCGGTTTGGAACTGGGCCGAACACACTAATGATCAGGCAGGAATTACTGCCAGCTTGCTTTGAGTATGAGAGTGAAAAGTCATCTGGAGGGTGAGCACATGAAATGTGTGTGTTCTTGTGTCAGCACACTGCTACATACAAGGCATACAGTTAGCTAAGCGACACATACGTTCAAAGTCTGCAGTGAAATGCCTCAGAGGTTGTCAAACTCCCCCAAAATCAGACATTAAGAACAGCCTTTTTGAGTGACGCACAATAAATATTTGACGTTAAAATAATAATAACAATATAACTGTAATACCAAATATTCAAAGCAACATTGAAGGGTTCCAAGTCCAGTGTTGTTTTTAAAATCGGATTTACTAGAAGTCCTGTTTGGATAAGTATTAATAAAGGGCACAAAGCCATATTTTGAAGGGAGCATGGCTTACTTTAAATAGTTATTATCTCCGGGGGATCAGCAGTGCACCCATGAGACCAGCAATCTGGGAGAATTTAGACTTTCTTCATGCTTTTGCCTCATTAATGCCTCATAAATCGATAAATCACCTTTAACATGTACAAAATAGGCAGATATGACACTGATTCAGTCTTTTCTCCTGTCTGAAAACCAGGTGGCCACACAAATCACTGCTTGTTTTGCTAAAATCTCTCAATGGATATCTGCACACCATGTAAAGCTAAACCTTGAGGAGACTGCTCTACCCATGATCCTACTATCAACATCAGGCCAAAACACACTAACTGTCACTGCTCCGCCCAACATTGCTGCTACAACCCTGCAGATACACTCTTTTCAACATTGGGAGAACATGTTTTAGAATCTGTTTGGATACACTGGTACTGGCTGGATATGTCAGTGTCCTCTTTTAAACTCATTTTGATATGCATCATCTTTTAACTGTCTCCTTATTGTGTTGTGTTATTTTGTTAATATGTCTGTGAAGCACTTTTTAAATCAGATGAACAATCTCACCATAGTTATCCTTTGCATCCCAGCCTGTGTTCCAGTGACCGCCCCATTCTCCGCCCACTCCACTCAACACGGGCTCCTCTGGGTCGTAGGTGTATTCCTCAGATTGTTCTTCCTGAGTGGATTTTTCCAGCCCGTTCTCCAGCTGATCCGGGTACTCCCAGAACAGCGGCCAGAACAGCTTCTTGTGGCTGTTGGCCCATTCTGAGGAGGACACCGACCAGTCGTTATGCTGCCCCCCTTTCACCAGGTCCATCTCCACCTCTGTCTCCGTCTGTGAGTCCCCTACCACCTCGATGGTCACCTGAAAGAAAAACACAAAATACTTGCTTTATAGTTTAGCCAGATGCAGATGATCTAATTTAGACTGATACAAATTGTTATCTTCTACTACAATGTCAGACCAATAATACTCTTATACTCAACAACTTGCTTCAGTGGAACAACTTTGACAAAAATGACCTCAGCAGCAAAAACAAAGATTGTGTCATTTGAGATAATCGTCATTACCTAGAATATGCATTCACACAGAAGTGTCATATAATGATGGTGACAGAGCTAACTTGCTCAAACAAACGCCTCTACAAAGCAGTTATAGTACATGGGTAATGCAATGAGTAATACTGAAGGGAACCAGAGTCCGACTTGCAGTAAGGGGGTAGCAACCCGATTGGCCAAGGCAGGGCAATGCAAACAGGATGGTTTAACCACGTCGTGGATGTTTGATAGGCCTGATCCATTCACAGAATGGTGGGCCAGTACCAGTGTATCCAAACAGATTCTAAAACATGTTCTCCCAATGTTGAAAAGAGTGTATCTGCAGGGTTGTAGCAGCAATGTTGGGCAGAGCAGTGACAGTTAGCGTGTTTTGGCCTGATGTTGATATTAGGATCATGGATAGAGCAGTCTCCTCAAGGTTTAGCTTTACATGGTGTGCAGATATCCATTGAGAGATTTTAGCAAAACAAGCAGTGATTTGTGTGGCCACCTGGTTTTCAGACAGGAGAAAAGACTGAATCAGTGTCATCAATGTTGACATTCTTTAGCCGTGGTAGGACAAGCCATGAAAGCAAATAAGAGAGCCGAGTCAATTGGTGTAGAGACAAAAAAGAATTGGGGCCGAGGATGGAGCCCAGAGGGATACCAGTGGTGAGTTGACAAGGGTCTGACACAGACTCCTCTCTATTACCCTGTAGGTGTGGTGTTTGAGGTAAGATTTGAGCAGGGAAAGGGCAGAGCCTGAGATTCCTACTTCCTGAAATTTGTAAAGGAGATGTTGTTGTTTAGTTGTGTCAAATGCAGCAGAAAGGTTTAAAGGATGATTACAGAGGAGAGGGAGACTGCTCTTACGGTCTGCAGTTCCTCAGTGACAGCAAGGAGGTTAATATCAGTTAAGTGGCATGCCATGAAACAGACTGGTAGGAATAACGACGGCTGTTTTGATGAAGGTATGAAGAGAGTGGATTAAAGACAGCTCTCTCAAGTGTGTTGGATTGACAGGGGAGAAGAGAGACAGGTCTGTAGTCTGTTACATCACAAGGGTCAAGTGTGGATTTCTTTAGGAGAGGGTTAAATCTTGCCTCTTTGGAAAACAACCATTAGTTTAGGAAATGTTGATGAGATGCGTGAAAAAAGGAAAATGATTAGGAGCAATAGACTGGAGATGCTGAGAGGGGATTGGGTCCAGAGAGCATTATCAGGGTTGGAAGTAGTAACAAGGCTTAGAATAGCTTTTTACTAAGCAGTTGACAGAATCGCTTGGTAGAACGCAAGAAGGAAATTAGGAACTGAAGAGATCGAGAAGGTGGAGAAGATACAGAATAGTTTTTGGGGGTTGCAGAATAGGGTGGAATTTTAGATTGAAAGTAATTTTTGCTGTAGAAATAGAAGAAGAGAAAGAGAAGATATTGGGAATGAGGTTGTCAAGGTGTTTGGACATCCACCATTTCCTCTCAGCCCCCCATAGGATGGTTCTGTCAGCACTTATCGAGTCAGTCAACCAGGGAGCTAAAGGGGACTGACAAACCAGCCTTGAGGTGAGAGGACAGAAAGAGTCTAGAGATGAGGATAGACTAGTATTTGTCACAGAGTTTGGAGAAATGAGTGAGAAACCAACAGCTAAGGGAGCACTGAGAGCACAAATGAAGCAAGAGAGGAGTACCCATAACAGTATTAGAGGATATCGTTTTGTCATAATGGGAAAGGGGCAGAGTGAAAGATATGAGAAAGTGATCAGAGAGGTGAAGCAGGTTTGCAGAGAGCTTTGAAGTAGAGCAGTTTCTGGTACATTTGAGGTTGAGGTGCTTGCCAGCTTTATGGGAAGGTGGAGATTGAGACATTCAGATAGCAAAGGAGTTTACCAGAAGTAGGAAGTCAGAGGACGGAGGGACATTTTCTTGGACGTTAAATAGCAGGGCATGTAATTCTTCCAAGAATTCCGGATGTTGACCAGGCTCTGAATTCCAGAGTCACATAATTGTTTCTCTAAATCAACTCCACAAGTCCTAAACCCATTGTTCGTCAAGCCAACTCCACCAGGATTTGGTTTCAGAGTCATACTTAAGACCTTTTGAACTATTATATTCGGCTGTCATATGTTTTATATTTCCACTTTTCCCCCTTTGTTCTTTTATTCCTCCAAATACCAGTGTAGATGTCTGGTGTTCATGGACAAGTTGGAGCACCCTACTGTTAAAGGTCCTGCATGTGGTAACTCAAGACTCTGTCCTTACTCAAACCAGATGTACACAGAGATGGTTTTCACAGAGCGAGAGGGAGATACATGGTGCTGAGAACAAAAACTGAGGGGAAAGTGATGGTGGAGGACTCTGCTCAATCCCCACCCCCTGTGATCAATGATTTAATCTGAAACACCTGCACCTTACCAATATGAACTCTTCTTGACATGAGGAGAATGACTTGAATGTATTTCCAATCTGGGGTTGGAGATATGACCTAAAATGTATATCATATCTGATTACCAGAGGTGGAAGACATACTTAGAACCTGTATTTGAGTAAAAGTAGAAGTACCAGAATGTAGGAATACTCTGTTACAATAAAAGGCCTGCAATCAAAATGTTACGCAAGTAAAAGTAGAAAAGTTCTAACGTAGAAATATAATTAAAACACCAAAAGTAAAAGTAGTCATTGTGCAGATTGGTCCATTTCAATCAATCAATCAATCAATGTTTATTTATATAGCCCAATATCACAAATGTTACATTTGTCTCAGTGGACTTCACAGTTTGTAGAATGATATATATGATATGTTTTATAATGATTGATCATGAAAGTATTCTCAAAGCTGGTAAAGGTGCAGCTAGTTTGAATGACTTTGTATACTGCAGGGTAGCTTGTGGATTTACTCCAGGTGGAACTAAAGTCTGATTTAACACTTGGTTATATTTCACATCATTCATCCACATCTGTAAAGTAACTAAAGGTATTAAATACATGTAGTGGAGTAAAAGTACACCATGTACCTCTGAATTGTAGTGGAGTAGAAGTACAAAGTAGCAGAAAATACTCAAGTAAAGTACAAGTAAAAAATGGTACAGTACTTGAGTAAATGTACTTAGTAACTTTACTTCTGGATTACAGTTAAGGCTATAAAATAACACATTACTGTAATCAGATTACTTTTGTCTGTAACGCAATAATGTAACGCGTTATTGTTGATAACAGCAGTAATTACATTACAGTTATTCAGCACAAAATGATCTCATTACTTGCATTTCTATAAGGTCTTTGACTATCTGCAAAACGGGGGGACAGAAAAACGAATAAAACGTCCCTTTTCGCTCGGCTAAACTCACGACTTCATGGATAGCTATTAGCTACCTGGACCAGTGTTATGATGGAACCTGAGCTAAAGAAAACATGGCTGATGTTCAAAGAGCAGAAACAGAGGTATGTGTACAGTACTGTCCTGATTAGATTAAGGATGTATGCTGATCTGGGTTTAACTTTATTTAGTTATGTGTCATTTGATTGATGGTGCATCTCAGGTGATGTTACAGAATAGTCCATTCATGTAACTAGTAGTGTAACTAAGTAAGTAAGGTATTCAGATGTAACAATTTTTGTGTAATGCAATACTTTTTGAGTTACTACCCCAACACTATTTATTTGTAAGTATTTTCTGTAATGTGATGCGTTATTAGGGCCATGCCTGAGTTGGGAGTGAACTGTATATGGCAATAAGACGTTTTTTTCTGTTGTTTTATTACTTGAGTTTTTTCACCTCTGAAATAGAGGTGGCACATTATTTTTGGTCCGAAATACCACAGCCAGCTGAATTACATTACACTGCACTTGAAGATAAAAGACACATGTGGACCCTGAAACATGAAACCGTTGCACCCCTACCTGGATGTTGGGGTTCTGGGAGCTCATGTCGGCGTTGGCCAGTTCTGGGAAGTTCCTCAGGTCCAGGACGAAGGTCTCAGAGTCCTCCTTGGGTTCAGGCAGGGGGAGGACACCCGGGGACCAGCGGTGTCTGGACCTGGGGAGGGACGGACCCGAGGGAAGGGTCTGCAACAGGTTCTCCTGCTGGAGCTCCTGGAGAGTCTGGAGATCTCCGCCATTAGGCTCTGCTTTCACCTGACAGGAAGACAGATGCAAAGTCATGCAAAGAGGACTTTGCCTGTAACTAAGTGGATTTATCTGCAGAAATTGGTAGTCATTTAAATACTTTAGAAATAAGTGAATAGTCTATGGAAATAAAAAATTCCCCCATGTGTAATGCCCTTATTAACAACCAGAGGTTCTAATGACAAGTTATTGTCATATTAACAACCGCTCATATCTTTATTGCGTCAAGTTACAGTCTGTATCCGCTGTCATTCAGAATCTATTGATTTGACTGAACGTGTTGTCTACCATTCATCCTTTGGGGGAAATATTGACTCAAATAGAAGGAAATTGATACAAAATAAACTGTATGTTTAGATTTAGACCACTACGAAAGCTGTAGAACCATTTCTTAACAAGCGTAACTTTTCCTTGTTTGGTCTTCCAGCACCTTGGGCGTTTCAAGGACTGGGAAATATCCCGCTCTATTTTTAATCCAGCGAAACGTCAAAGTAGCTAGATATCCAATATCCTAACACTGGGTCTCCGGGATTATTCTGCTAACCCGGCACATCCCGCCCACACCGATGGGTTTATTCAACACTTATTTGATGGCAAACTCCGCCCAGCTGAATCAACACCAGCACACCCCGGGATAGTAACCAAGTGCACCTACTCCTGGCTGTGAGATGCAGATATTAAAGGGAGTTATTTGATTCAATAAATGTCTTTGATTACTATGAGAAGCTATTTTATAAATACATTTTATTATCATTATTAGATGATTAATTAATGGATCTCTCTTTGTAAATGATTAACTCATTTAGTTTTACCATTTAAAAATAGCTAAAGGTAGGAAGCATAAGCCATTGAATTTAAGACTTGTGTCAGTTTTAATGTCATTTGCATTCTTATTCAAAGTGGGCAGTGTTCTGACATGTTTTCAACTTGCACCTTATTTCTTTTAATTATTTACCAAATCATATTTCCTTGTGATGTTTTTATGCTGTTCATGTTTTATCATTATATCAGGGTGTTTGCTGTCATGGATGGTAGTGATATTCTTCTGTGCTCTCTGCGCAAACCCATCCCACTAGGGGCAACAAAGGTTTTATTCATTGAAGGTATGATAATAATGTACTCATCATAATAAAAAGTAACTTAAATAAATGCTAAAAAGGACATTCATTTACAGTGACCTTGATAAAACTATTGACAGTCTGTGACTTGAAAAATAAAATGTTTTACCTCCAAATATTAGCATCAGTATAAGCCTCAAATCCAGTATGAGTTGAGGTATCACGTACACAAAATGAGATTTATTTAAAGTTTACTATCATAGATATATTACCCGCAATAAGCAGTTATAATTAAGGCAACTAGGTTCCAACTGCAAAACGTCTCAGAAGTGCCTGCCTACCTCTGTGAATAAGCTAAGTCGATCATTTTTGTTACCAGAACACAACACAACTGTTGTTGGTCATTAAAAAACCCACTGTTCCACTAAGCTGTTTTTGGATGAACAGGAGTATCAGCCTATCACAAGTCAGCTGTTCTGTTTTCTGGCTGCTTGTATGAATCACAGAAATCAGAGGATTTGCTCACAAAAGCAAAGTAGATCTCTTTGTATAGCGTTCAATCTTTTTTACTGAGAAGAAAGATCTATACACTTCTGAGGGAATGGAACCATGAACCCTGTCATTACTGGACAACCTGCTGTCCCTCCGCGCCCACAGGCCCGCTCACAGTTGGTAGTAACAATCATACAAAGAAACGCATAAATATAAACATACAACTTTTAGCAGTTACCAAAGTAAGAACAACTACTTTTTCAAATAAAATTAGCCCGGGTAATCACAGATCCCCCCCCCTTTAATGCACTTTGAAGCAGGTGGTGGAGACCAATGTTCTTAATCTCCATCCGTTTATAAGTGACTGTTATTTTTGTATATATTGACTGTTGCGCTTTATATTTTTTATTGATGCATTTTAATGTGGAAATGTGTATATATGTGTCTATGTTTGATTATGTAGGAGTATATATACATATAAAAAGTGGGTGTACAGGAGTATGTATATATATATACCTCTGTCTGTATCTCACACAGAAATTTGACAATAAAGTTGACTTTGACTTTCCCTATTCTAGAACATTATGTCTCTATATCCTCCCAAACTTTTCTATAAGGTGTAGGAAATGTATGGCTAGTTTGTGAAATGCATGGATAGTCATTTTTATCTTGTGGCCATCGACCATGAACAGCAACATTTTTAATAAAGAGGCTGTTTGTCTCGTGTTCATATAGCAGCCGCAGGAGAGGTCAGGCTTAAGGCTCCCTGTGAGCAGAACACATTTTATTAAAAACCCAGAGTGGAGCTGAGAGACCAGAGAGCAGTGGAGCCAGAAATACCTGAGCACATATTCACACACATACACAGCCACTGAGGGACAGGAGGTATAATCAGAGGTTATATTGATGTATGACTCCTTTCCTTCTATAATAGCTTTAAAATAAACTATTCTAATATAATATCCTGTAGTAAATTGGTTTATTGGTCTTTTAGAGAGCCTTCTAACTTATCCAGAACATGTTATATTTTTGCATTATTTGTGATACATGTATTTTCTACTGCAGATGTATTTGCGGTTTATGTTTATTTTTAATTTGTATTTAATAATGTTTCCATTTGTATTCCACCTTTCAAATATTTTAATGCCTGAACCCACTGGTGCTGTAACAAAATAATTTCGCATTTGGGATGAATAAAGTATCCATCCATCTACCATCCATCCATCTTATAATATCTGTAGAATACAATCATTCAAACTTCCAGTTGAGTTCCTTTCATTGCATGACGGGGACAATACTGCTAAAACTTTGTTTTACGGTGACCCTCAATCTTTATGTTAATATTCCGTTTGATTTTGTACATTTTTTCTTTGGGCATTCTCAGAGATTGGTGTTATTTATAGCTGCAAGACAGACTTGCTTACCTTCTTGTTGTTGGATGATTAATATGACTGTCTTGGTGCACTTGCTTGATGTTTTTTAGCAAAGTTCCGCAAAAAACTAAATCCGACCATTCAACATAGATTATTCCTCTCAAACATTTGATGATGAATGAGTTCATGGTTTACTTTGCTGCATATAATTCAAGAAAAGGGACTTCAGTGAGGTTCTTGTCAGTCATTAATACTTAATAGGCTAGAAGGTGTCAATACGTTGTTTATTTAATACTATCTCAGTTATCTTCATGAGTCGGATCACTTGTAGTTTTCAGTTAGCTGAGCCAAGGACAAAGTGCATGTGTTTAAACCCCATAGTGGCCGGTATCAGTAACATATTAAATCAATGTGTCTGAGCTGCAGTGTATGTTCACAAAAGTTGAGCAAAGTTCGATTCCCTTCGTGGTTGAACGCTCCAGCCTGACTCCAACAAACATGGAAGAACAAAGTTTACCATCAACTTGAGCATGATACAAACAATGGCAAATAGAAAGGATTTTTACTCCAAATAAGTTTGAAGTGGGCATTCATTTCAAACTTTCACATTTGAAGTCAGCAGTCTAATCTTCAAGCTATCACTCTTCCACCAAAATCCAAGCTTGTATCTGATCAAACCTGATCAACCATCCCAAACTGGCCAAACTTTGAAGGCAATTTCAAGTCCTTTTCCTTTTTTTGCTCAAGATAGTCATCAAAAACACTGAAAAACTGGAACGTTGACTTGAATTAAATGTATTATGTCAACACATTTCACATAACTGTATTAGGTTAGTAGAAAGCAATAATATTAAGTTGAACCTAGTATTTTTAAACTAAATATTTTTGCTTTCAACTAACCTAATACAGTTATGTGAAATGTGTTGACATAATACATTTAATTCAAGTCAAAAAGCGTGGTGCTAATAAGGCCAATGCCATGGGTTCCACTCCAATACTGGCCGGTGGCAGTAACCTATAGAGTCAATGTGTCTGCAGCATGTGGTTCAGAAGGTGAGCACTAACTTTCATATAGGTCAGCATTCTACCCTTCATCCTATCTCTTCCTCTTTGTAACCATGTGGCCTAATGGACAAGGCGTCTGACTTTGGATCTGAAGATTGAGTGTTCGTTCCCTATCATGGTTGAAAGTTGAATAGACCTGTTGGAACAATATTTGCTGGCAACTTGAGCAGAATACAAACAATGTTGGTTAAGATTAAAGGAAAACATTTGGCTTCAAATATTTGGGAGAAAGTGGGCATTATTTCCACTAACTTTCTCTTGTCAAGTCAGCAGAATACAACTGCTATCTCCTATCATCAACTCCAAGATTTAGGCAGACCTGATTGATACATTTTTATGTGCACTCCAAAACAAACTAAAGACACCTGGGGGGTATACTACGAAGCAGGATTTTCGCTTAGGCGGCTAACTTCAGGGAAAACTCGGGGTTTCCGGTCCTACGAAGCTGGTTCTCTTTTTAGCAGGCTAGATCTCCATGGTAACTTATGCTGTGCGACTAACCTGGGGGGTATACTACGAATCTAGTTCAACCTATCCTGGATATGTTTGAGTTATCCGGTTGGCCTAATCCAAAACAAAGCCACTCTCGCTAAACTGTCCTACAACGCTGGCTATCAACTCGTTCGCTCAAGCCAGCCGTGTCCTATCTAGTGAGGTGCGCGTTCACATGAAAGGGGTGGTATCTGGAGCATTCGACCAATCACAAACCTGGAGAAGCGTACTGACAGCGCAGCGTCATACTTCCTGAATGAAAAGTGAACTTTAATATTAGTCAAATATAAAGAAGTTCAACTTTAAACATCCATGACTTAAACACTTTATCCAGGATCAAAGCCACATAGCTGCACCTGCAAGGTGAATACAGCTGGGAACAGAACAAGTGTTTGAATGCGTACATTAACAGGTTTATGATATCACTGCCCCGTCTAAAACACGAGTGGATCTGACTTTAAATGCATTTGACTCGAGTGTTTCGTCAACGTAATGTGTTGCTTAAAATAATACTTCTGCATACAGTATGTGACACTGTGAGTGTTGCACGGCCAGGTACGGCTCAAGAAGCTGACTCAGATAAGGAGATATATGATACATTATGATGTGATATCAATGATAATGGGACACATTGACGTCTGCACTCACAGTGCCGCGGACTGTAGGCTACGTAATGTTACTTTGATCCGGTTACTTATGTTGTGGCAGATATTTAATTAAGCTTTCTTAACGCTAATGTTATAATAGTCAGATTGCTCTGAAGATGGGAGGTGATATTCTATTAATGTTCACTTTCACACAGTCAGTGATTTTGGCCGGCTGTCTTTCCTGCATCGGCAGTTTAAACTGTATTTCCTCCGCACACTGAGCTCTGATTGGTCAGCAGGCGTGGTGCTTTCGCTGAGTTGATCTCTTATCCTGGAGAGGTGGGGCTATGGCTTCATCGTTATCAGGAAATGATCGTATAGGACGTACACACGGAGCCGTTTGCCCCCCAGAGCGTTCCGTCCACAGATCTACCCACCTTGGAACCCATTATCGTTTGAGGGGTCCGTTTTTGCGGTTCCGTTACGGCCTCGTGTGAACGAACGAGCTATACGAAAGAGAAAAGTATCAGATACAACACGAACCGGGGGTCTTAGTCTCTCTCCATTGGTGCGCTGGGCTAATGCTAATAAAGCAAATAAAATGGCGGCTTCACAAAAACTTTTCAAAGTTTTACGGGCCGTGGTTTGCAATTCGCCCAGCCAATCAGAAATTGGAACCTTTTTCTCACCAGGAAAGTCCCTGCTCTCTAGCAGGGAAAAAAAAGGGGTGAAAAGGTTTGCCAAAAAAAAGTTCTAGTTCCAGATCTTTTTGGTGTGAACGCAAAATCCCAGGAACTATCGGAACTATTCCTGGGAAAAGTACTAAAGTAATAATTGAACATACATTTTGGGACGAAAATAGATATGTTTTCAACATCAAGAATAAACTTTCAACCACAGCTGGTGCTTAACTGCCCTGTGGGACTACATCTTCATCAATTGTAAATGTTGTATGAACAGTCAATCATAACAAACAGCATTCTTACATTTCCAAAACTGGTCAAAGATTCTCTGAAGTTTTTAACTGATTGAAAAACGACTATGATTAAAGTTATTCTAAAAAAGAATACAGGTGTTAGGGCATTAATATCTTCAATATAAATCTGACATTGGGAGAACTTGAATTTCTATTTGCTATGTTTGAATAAATATAAAGTATCAAAGTTTTAGGGTTAAGTCTTCTTATTTACTTGGATGTGGAGAAGGACAAATCACAAAATAAACGTAAACCTGATTATAAACTGAAATCTATATTAGTAAGACATGATGTCAATGTTAAATCTCAATAGAATAATATCATTATTATTGTTTTAAGTAGACAAAGATAAAAATGTCAGTTTACACAATTCTTGCAATGCTTTACTGTCATTTACTGCATTTTCACTGTGTGTATGTTCACTGTGTGAACATTCAATACATTACAAGCACCATAATAATCGGACGGTACAGCATGGGGGGGGGGGGGGGGGGGGGGGGCTAGTCTACCTGAGGAGCGGATGCTGAGCTGTTTCTGTCTCTGGAGGTTGTGGGGAACCCGCGGACTGACACCCACAGCAGGGTGAGGGTCAGGAGCCGGAGACAGGACCCTGTCTCCCGCCGCATCTTCTCCACAGCTCAGGGTCGATCTTCTCCAAAGTGGCGGAGCTCCTCAGTCTGTACCCGCGGAGGTGAGGGGGGCGTCCTGCTGTCCGTGCGCTCTCTCCGCTCCGCCTGGAGACGCTTGATCCCAAATTGTTATAATCCCTGGTGTCCGATTCCTTATTCAGGTATGGTTATTCCATGCACATGTAGAATGCAACTAGTAAACCGACGATACGTTTCCTCAGGTTGTGTTCTCAGTCTTTAGGCAGAACTCTCAGTACGGCCGGGTTTCAGCGCGCAGAGCGGGGAGGTGTGCAGCTCTCCCCGGCTGAGCTCATCCTCTCGGTCCGGTTCCTCTGGTTGCAGTCCAGCTTGTAGTATTGGCTTTGCCCCGGATGACGCAACGGAGGGAGGGGAGGGTAGGGGGTCAGCAGGGGGGGATCCTGGGGAGGGTAACGCAGGCACGCAGCGTCATAGTCCTTAATGCTGGAAGTAATCTGATCTTTAATACAGGACCCTAAACTTTAAAGAGGTGGAAGAAGTACTTAGATCGTGTACTTCAGTAAAAGCAGTAAATAAGCCCTGCATTGAAATTCTTACTAAAAGTAGGCCTACCTAAGTATTGGCAATAACATCAGTGGCGACTGGTCATTAGGGGCAGGTGGGGCACAGTCCCACCTAGTGTCAGCAGAAAGTCATTCAAATAATAATTCAAAGAAAATGCAAAAGAAATACATCTTAAAATATATTTTAAGATCATGTTTAATCATCTGATTCGTCTGTATATTGCTGTTTTAGTCTGTGTTCTTCTAATTAGTGTCTGTGTACCTATTGAGCCGTAAAACGACACTGCGCATGCTCAGAGTATTTTTCTATTCAATAGAGGTTTTTCAATACTCTATAGGCTTCTCAAATTTCCCCTCCTCGACTCCTCGGTCCTCCGGTAGTGACCCGGAAATGGATTTCAGCGCCATGTTGAAGGCAGAGGCGCGGAAAGGTATTTTGAGTGGGGGTGCTGAGGTGCTGGACTCCAGTGAACACTATTACGGGCACTATAAAGCACGCGCAAAAGCACTCCCCACACGCAAACACACAGTACACCCGCGACTGTTACAATGAAGGCTCGATAATCAGCTCACGGCATATAGGCAGGGGTAAAGTGCTATTTTTTTTACAAGTGGGGAGCGGACCTCACCTCCTTTAGGGGGGTCTGGGGGGATGCTCCCCCGGGAAGATTTTTTTTAAATATTGAAGTTAAAAGCATCAATCTGGTGCACTTTGATACCTCTCTCAACACCCAGATGAAACACAACTGTAAGCAGATGTTCTTTTTCTTTATGGATATTTTACAAATCACTCCCCTTTCAAACTGCATTCTTGTTTTACTGCCATATAGTATTTCATAACTGTTTTTCCTTTATTCTCTTGTTTTTTTTATAACGATAATGATCATATGAAGGTGTGCCGCGGAAATAATCTTTTGAATAATTTGTGACCAAACCGTTTGAGACCCACTGAGATAACTTAGACTAAAGTTAACTATCTAAACACTCAGAGAGTCCTTTAGCTCACCTGAGCCTCTCAGTCTGAGAGGAGAGCTCTCCTCCAGCTTGTTGTGGAACAAACAGCTCCGTATGTCCGTTAGTGCAGCTAGCTAACTGCTAACCAGATGCTAACAACACGGTCCCTGCTGTTGGCACCGGTCCCCTCTCTCTCTCTCCCTCTCTCTCTCCCCTCTCTCTCTCTCCCTCTCTCTCTCTCCCTCACACACACTAAATGCGCTATTTCCGCACACACAGAGCCGAGCTTGAATGACACCAGCACAATTGTATTTCCATGCAACTCTGCTTGGTCTGGGTCTGGTGTCTTGCCTCTGTTGCATTCACTGAACACGGGAAATTACAGTCCTCTCTAGTGTCTTGATGAGGTTCACGTAAAGCAGGTTCATGTATTATATTATTGAGGTAGAATTGTCCGGGGCTACAGAAAAAACATTCGGGGCAAGCCAAAATATTATTTTACCAACAATGTGGAATTTATTGGCTACATATTACACAGATTATGCACAGCGGGAGCAGCAATAACCATCAAATAATAATTCAGACAGGGGAGCTCCGCACCCCTTGCCTACCGCTAGGGGGTGCTGCAGCGCCCTCAGCACCCCCCTTCCCGCGCCCATGGTTGAAGGACATCTAATTTCTCTAAATGCACATCGAGGACCGCACATCGAGGACCGCACATCGAGGACCGCACATCGAGGCCGGTGCATCGAGCATCGAGGAGGCGTTACGCACGGCCGGACTTATCTCAGCCAATGACAGCTCTGCATGCATCCCCTGGATATTAGTTTAGAAACTGCTTTCATCGCGACGCGATGTTTACAGTAGAGGCTTCTCAATTCTTAAATTTCCCCTCCTCGACTCCCCTCCTCGAGACTTAGTCCCGCCCACAGGAGATGCGAACGGAGGACGGAGGAGGGGAACCGAGGAGAGAGGAGGGGAAGCAGCAGACGTTTAAAGAAATGAGAACTCCTCTCCTCTGAGCGGTCATATTAAAGCGACGTCCGTTCATTATTACGTGGCAACAGCTGCATCAGCTGTTGAGTGTTTTGTCATAGCGCAATATTTTATAATCTCTGTTAGATCAGCTGAACATTGTTCCCCCACATATTTACTTTGAATTCATTGAGAGTGCGGTATAATGAGACAATAACAGGCTACAGATGCGGACACACACACACAAATATATTTATATAAATATATACAATTTAAAGTATGAGAGCACTCTCATAATAACGTTTTGTGGGTATGTCAGCACAGTGCCCCACAGTGATTCTACAGCATCTACGCACTGTACAACACCTACACACTGTACCACACACACACCTATACACTGTACCACACACACACCGTACCACACACACCTACAGCTCCTAAAGCACAATCAGGCTACAGCCGTTGTGTATTTTATTATGTGAAGCACTAAATGGTCTTAGAAAAATATCGACTCTTTGTTTGTAGATATCTACTAAACTAAAGCAAATAAAGAGAGTAGGCCTGTTATACTGAGTGATATATATTATACACACTGCTCTGCTTTCTGCATGGACCTCACAGCTGTTCTCTCTGGAAACATGGTGACGCGATGAAAGCAGTTTCTATAAAATAATATCCAGGGGATGCATGCAGAGCTGTCATTGGCTGAGATAAGTCCGGCCGTGCGTCACGCCTCCACCGTTCCCTTTCACACTCTCGAGCTATATGGCCAGGCTGCTGACACCTTCTGCAGATCAAAGGACCATTACAGGACGTTTGACCTTGGAAGCAAGGGGCCTGCAGGGAGGCTTCAGTCTGGGTGAGTTGGTTAAGCTGTTCTTGCTGATGCTTCAAAAGGTCCATCAGGTCACTCAACCCTGGCTCAGGCAGAGTGACAGGAGGAGTGTGTTGGAAGCGTCCCTGCTCCCCACACTGAAAACCATAAGCAGATGGCAAAGAAGAGCTGCGCGCCCTGGCACCCCCTGGAAGACCCTCCCTCTCCCACCTAATAGCCTCACCACAAAGGTCCAGCAAGGTGGTATTGTGGTGGCGACGGACAACTTGTTTGAGTTCCCTGGGAAGAGAACTGTCAAGAACGTGCTCAATGAACTGATCACGTAGTAGGATATCTGCGTTGGGCATCCCATCAGGTGCATGTTGCGTGACTTGAGCCATTAAAGCCATAAGGGCTAAGGAATACTCCTGCAGGGTCTCACCTTCGAGTTGGTGACGAGAAAAGAAAGCCTGTTGTAAGGTGACGTAAGACTGAGCGCAACCATATAGCTCCTTTAAGATAGCGAGCACCCGAGTTGGGTCTCCTCGCTCTGCACTAGTGCAAAACGTGATCTCTTCTTTGGCTTCGCCCTCAAGATGATCAAAGAGGAATAGGGCTTGGTCGGCCGCAGAAAGATGGCGGGCACACGCACATGCCTGCACCTCCTCTGACCACTCAGCTATGCTTATGCCTGTCTTTCCGTTAAACATGGGACATTTACGGTCCCTTGGAATAACAACTAGCCGCTCAGTGACAGCAGCAGCAACCCCCGCAAGCGGGGCCTGACTAACCGTAGCAGAAGAGGAAGAAGCACCACCAGAGTCCGCCAGGGGAACAGTACGCTCCTGACGAAGTCGCTCGTTGTCTGCCCTAAGCTCATACACTAGGTCCCAGAGCTGCTGCATCTCCTCCTCCATAACGACGAAAGCTACACCAAAGCTAAGAAAATGGTATGGAGGGGTTAATTTTGGGATTACACACACACACTGCTGTTTTGGCTCTATAATCACAGTGAAAATACAAAAAAATACAATACACTGCTGAAACTACACACAATTTAGCAAAAAAAACTAAAACATGTCTCTGCCCTTTTTATGTGGCTATCCTGCCGATAACGCCAAATGTGACGGTGTGGTGTATAGGTAAGAGTTTGTGTTGCCAACAACGCCACCTAAGGGAGTTTCACCCCTAGGAACTAACTATTGATTATAAAAGATTTACCACACAAGGAACACAGGCTCGTTTTACATAACGGGCCAGAGACGGTTTCAGTTAACACAATTACTTTATTTTATAACAATCAATTAACTATTCTAAAAACACCAGATCCACATAATACAATCAGCTAAAAGGTCATACTGGGGCATAGGAGGTACAAGACAGGGCTGGGGCTTACCAGGCGGCAATAAATAAATAGGGGGGAAGGGTCCAACTCAAAACTACCCGTGACACCGCAAACCAAACAATAGGACTTGTGAAGACCACCACCACCAGGGACTGGGGTTGCCGCCTCAGGCCGACAGCACCTGTCTGACAAGAGGAAGATGGTTAAAACCTCCACACAGTATTACACTCAAATAAACAACTAAATAAATACTCAAACAAACAAAACCAAATGAATGAAGGTATCCAAATAAAGTCGGTGCACCATGGTTAATATAAAATAAGAAAAACACTAGTATATAAACTAAATTAACAAAAGAAAATAACAAAACCAAAATAACAGTTTCTCAAAGTAAACAGTGAGTTATATCAGGGAGACTTGGTTGGCGAGTTCCCTGAGAGCCCGAAACGCTACAGAGTCCCGAAGGGACTGGTGACACTGGTGACCCCGTGTCACCAGACACGGGGCTCGCTACGCAACCGCAAGTTATTCCAGTAGTGAGTCACTGCAAAGAGCCAAAACAGCAGGACCAGTTGTCCGAAGGTGGGCCTAGCAATTAATAGCAACCCTGAAAAGGGCACAGGTAGCCTACATATAATATTATTTAGAGGCCAATTAAACACATGGATATCAATAACTGAATTTACAGGTTCCCATACAATCTATTCAGCCACAGCATAGCACCCGAGCCGTCAGGGGAGAGGGGCGCACAGGCCATGGAAAAATCCCGCTGCCGCAATAAATAATATAAAATAAGCCAGGAGCCAAGTGTCAGATGATAAAGGGAGGCAGACAACGGCAACTCACCAGGTGATAACAACACTGCGCCCAGGGGAGTCCTCAGCGGAGCAATTTATCCGCCAATGCACCGGCAGTCAGATGCGCTGTCCAGATGCGAGTGTTGCCAAACGGCTGCCACGACAAACAATTCATTTGGGCCACGCCGTGCTCCAGCCACCAGCGAAGGGGTTGACAGCAGCGCCATATATACTGAGAGTTATGTCATCTCCGTTCACTCCAATGGACCACTATTTTACAGGAATGGCGGATCGTGGAGCCTCTCAATCGTTCCCCGGAAGTTAGCGCCAAGGCTAGCAGAGCTATGGAGTTGCAGCATAATAGACCGTTCGTGACGGACTTTTAAAGGTAAGAAGAAGTTTAAAGATTTATATTGCGGATATTATCAGTACATATGATTCAAATTAACATGTGTATTAAAGGATGTCAGTGGATTATACCTAAATTAGTAGATTTAGGGAACGTTTACAGATAACAGATTAAGCTAGGATACCGAATCAAGTTAGCAACACACGTTGAACAGCCTTTTAATTGTAAATTCCGTTCTCTTAATGTCATTTCGTCCAACGTTGTTGAATTAGAGAAGAGGGGCTTCTAAACGGGATCGTATGCGGGGGTGGAGGGAGTTACATATTAGATCAATTTAACTTTAGTGCATGTAAGAGTGAGTGTTTTTAGCAGAGCCATATTGTGTCCTTGTGATTATTACCTGTCTGTATAATGTTGCAGCTCAGCTGATTTTGGATTGATGGCAAAGGGAGAGGGACTTAAGTGAGAGTGAAAACACAAGGTAAGTTTAATACTACTGTTTTATATAAGTAAACACCTTATCTCCCCAAGGCAATTTCCCATCCAATAGGTGTGCTATATAGGTGTGTATAACCCTTTCTCCTGTATGTTACTCAGTGGTGTAGTCTACGTGATACGCTGGTATACGCCGTATACCCACTAGAAAATGCCAGTGATTTCCGTATACCCTCTTAAAAATGAGCGATGATACGTAACAACATCATTTTGTGACTGCGCTTTCACGCTTTCGCCCCTTCTGTGTTAATACTTTTGGATATCTGGGGCTTCCGTCGCCTGTGGCCTGTTGCTAAGCAACAGCAACATACTTTGTTCGGCTCTGATAAACCCCACGTGTCTCTAACGTTATCAGAATTTGATCCGTCCACCATTCAAGTTCGCGGAGCGCTAAACAGGAAGCAAACATGAAACGAAAACAGACGACAATATTTCAATGTTTTCCGAAGTTTCCCCTATTACCACTACGGAAGAAGAGCCAGGTCAGGCGGCTGTCCTAAAGGTGACAGAGAACGAGCCCGGCGCTACCGCAAATGTACCCGGTAAGTGAAATTAGCATGGTTATCATTAACGTAACTGTAGCTAACTTGCTAGCTAACTTGATCAACGTTAGTGTGGTGGATCAATGGAAGAGAAAGGGAGTGTGTGTGTGTGTGTGTGTGTGTGGTGTGGTGTGTGTGTGTGTGTGTGTGTGTGTGTGTGTGTGTGTGTGTGTGTGTGTGTGTGTGTGTGTGTGTGTGTGTGTGTGTGTGTGTGTGTGTGTGTGTGTGTGTGTGTGTGTGTGTGTGTGTGTGTGTGTGTGTGTGTGTGTGTGTGTGTGTGTGTGTGTGTGTGTGTGTGTGTGTGTGTGTGTGTGTGTGTGTGTGTGTGTGTGTGTGTGTGTGTGTGTGTGTGTGTGGTCTTAAACAGAACACAATGTTTATATTATCTCCTTGTTTTGGACACAGATGAGAGCTCCTGGCCAGCCTTGTGGACTGAAAGTCAGGCTATGGAATTTAAGAACAGGCATCCTTGGTTAGAGTGGAGGGACAGAAAGTTAGGTAAATGTCAGCACACATGCAAAGGAAAGCTGATCTAAACAACAGAAATTGATAAAGTCAATGACTATGCAAATGAGAGTTCATTCATGGTCATGTTAAAAGTGCATTTAAAACATTTGCACCATTACATTACTATATGTTAGTTATCAGTAGTTGTCAAATAATTAGCTATTGAAAAGTGGAAAATGTTTCTCCATTTATCTGCTTTTCATGCATTTGTTAGCCATGATGTAAATATTGTAAGCAGTTTATTAAATACTTTTGAGTAAATCTTGTCTCTTTTCTGCAGATGTTATTGGTAAAAACGTGTATTATGCTAATTAGTCATGGGTTTGTTTATTTCCAGGTTGTGCTCTTTACAGCGCAACACAATCAACAGGTGTCCTCACAGAACAACGAGTGTCTATGTCTGAGGAGTGGGTGCACTTTAAGATCCAGTCCTCAGATTCAAGCAGATCAACATCTCTGGCCTCTTTGAGAAACAAGATTAGACGACATGAGACGTCCAGAGCACACAAAATAGCCCAGGAGCTCACGGAGAAGGGTGGACAGGATGTAGTTGGAAATGTGGTGAGAGCTGTGTCAGAGACTGTGTTTGCAGAGACAGATTCTGTATTCAGAACAGCATAATATCTTGCGAAGATGAACCGACCTTTTACTGACCATGATAGTCACATTGAGCTTCAGGAAAAAAATGGTGCCAACATGGGCACTAGTCTGCACTCAAGGTACAGTTCCACAAAAAGTGTAGAACACATAGCAAAAGAGATGCAGAAAAAAATAGTTCACAGTATTGTGACGTCTTCTAGCAAGTTGTCTGTTCTCATTGACGAGGCTACATCTATCAGCCACAAATCTGCAATGATTGTCAACTTGAAAGCCTCAGTGGATGGAGCTACTCCTGAATTTGTGTTCCTGGAGCTGGTTGAGCTGGAGAGCCAAAGGGCAAAGGATATAGAAGAAGCTCTGCTGAACTGTTTGGACACTGCAGGCTTCACTGAAGAGTGGCTTCAAAAGAACAGGGTCTCATTTGTTTCTGATGGAGCCAGTGTCATGTTAGGCAAGAACTCTGGTGTGGCAACCAGGCTGACAGCAAGGTACCCTAACCTCTTCACATGGCACTGCATGAACCACCGTTTGGAACTGGCTGTATCTGATACTGTGGATGAGGTTCAGGCAGTCAACCACTTCAAAGTGTTCCTAGAGAAGATCCACAATCTCTACAGTCAGTCCAATACAAATTCACGAGAGCTTCTGGAAGCAGCACAAGAAGTGGGCTCGCAAGTCCTGAAAATTGGCAGAGTTTTAAGTACGCGATGGGTGGCCAGCAGTTTCCGTTCTGTAAAGGCTGTGTGGACATCATATGAAGTACTCAATAGACACTTTGAAAATGCTGCAGGCGACCAAACAAGAAGCAGCAAAGAGAGACAAACTTATAGAGGCCTGGCACGTCGAATGCAAAGCAAGGAATTCCTGTGTGACCTCGGACTCATGTTTGATGCACTGTCTGAACTTGCAAACTTGTCTCAGCAACTCCAGGCCCATTCTGTCACACTCTTGAGAGCAGACCATCTTCTAAAGCGCACCATCAGAGTGCTGGCATCATTCAAAGATACCCAAGGAGAGAAATTAGAGGAGGCACTGACTGCACAAGCTTTGGGACATTTAGGATCTGTTCCCTTGGAGTCAAATGCAAAGCTCACACCAATCAATGCAAAACAATTCCTACAAAGTCTGATCAACAACTTGGAGAAGCGTCTCTCATTTGATGGTGAAATGCTTCATTACATTACATTACATTACATTGCATTTAGCTGACGCTTTTGTCCAAAGCGACTTACAATAAGTACATTCGACCAGGAAGACACAACCTTGAAGAAAACAGAATCATATAAGTACATCAGGTTTCATAGAGCCAAACATTTCAAGTGCTACTCAACTGGCTTTAGGTAATCCAGTCCTTTATTGGTATAAAAGTGCTTCGTTAATCGTTCTAACGCTCGAAGTGGAGTCGAAAGAGATGAGTTTTCAGTTTGCGCCGGAAGATGTGCAAGCTATCTGCCGTCCTGATGTCAATGGGGAGCTCATTCCACCATCTTGGAGCCAGGATAGCAAACCCACGTGTTTTTGCCGATGGGAACTTGGGTCCCCCTCGCAGCGAGGGCGCAACGAGTCGTTTGGCTGATGCAGAGCGTAGTGCACGCGCTGGGGTGTACGGTTTAACCATGTCCTGGATGTAGGAAGGGCCAGATCCATTTGCAGCACGGTAAGCAAGTACCAGTGTCTTGAAGTGGATTCTAGCAGTTACCGGAAGCCAGTGAAGGGAGCGGAGGAGCGGAGTGGTGTGGGAGAATTTAGGAAGGTTGAAAACCAGACGAGCCGCTGCATTCTGGATGAGCTGCAGAGGTCGGATGGCACATGCAGGTAGACCAGCCAGGAGGGAGTTGCAGTAGTCTAGGCGTGAGATGACGAGAGCCTGGACCAGAACCTGAGTCGCTTTCTGAGTCAGCTGGGGACGTATCTTCCTGATGTTGTAAAGCGTGTATCTGCAGCAGCGGGTTGTAGCAGCGATGTTTGCAGTGAAGGACAGGTTGTTATCTAGGGTCACACCCAGATTCCTTGCAGTCTGAGTCGGGGAAACAACTGAGGTGCCGATGTTGATTGTCAGGCTTCATGATCTCAGTGTTCTGGATACAGGCAACTGACCATCAACCCCTGGCATACGGCATGGTGAGGCACAAGTGAAAGGACTCTGCAGGCGGTTCAATCTTGGTGAAGAGCAAGCAGTTAATGGTATGAGAGATTTCCTTGAGCACCCAGACAGTGAGCCTGAAAGCTTAAAGCCACTCATACAATGCATGAAGACCATCCCTTGCAGCACTGCTGAGTGTGAAAGGGGCTTCAGTCTCATGAACAATATATGCACAGACAAGAGATCGACACTGTTGTTGTCAAATGTAAGTAATTTGATGATGATCAGCATCAATGGGCCCCCTGTAACACTTTTTGAGCCAAGGAAGTACGTCACAACATGGCTGAGAAGCCATCGCTCTGCCACGCAAGCAAGGAGGCAATGCACACCTCAGATGCCTGAGTACAAACATATCTGGAAAGCTCTGTAGACTACCAGACTATGTCTAGAAGTGTTCCATCCTTTTTCCAGGGCTTGTGGACTAACACAGTGAACCCAGTATGGACATGTTGAGTGCTTTTTCAACCCTCATTTATTGAGGTGAAGCTTATTTGTTAATTTGTTTCTTGTTTGAAGCTAATTTGTCTTGTAGCACTTCAAGGATGTTTGCTTGTTCATTTAAGCTGATACAGTACATAGTTTGACAATGATTTATGGAAGATAATAGGGCTGAACAAGTTTGAATAAATATCTAATGCATTGAAAAATATGTTTAAAATGATTATTGTGTGATATTTGTGCAGATCTATGCGAAACAAAGATGTTTTTTAAGTGTAGAATATGATGTGTGGGCCAGGACATCTGTAGCATGACCATATTTATTGTATATTAATTGCAGTAGGCCATATTGAGATTTTGATAAAAATGTCGATTAATTGTTCAACCCTAGAAGATAGGTGGGCTTTTTCCATCATTGTTCATTCTTTTATTTTGTTATTGTTAATGTCACTGGCAGTTAAAAGTCACATAAAAATGATTATAATACATTGACATGTTGATAACACATAACCAGTCTCAAGACTAGTTATGCATTAGTGAGTGTGATGGTGTTCATGAGGTGTTGCTTCGAGACAGGTGTCGCTCCGCGATGCGTCGCTCTAGGATGGATGAATACAATTATTACAGTATACCCACTACAAAAAAGTAGACTACACCACTGCTCCCTCTTTCAGCACAAGAACCAGAGGGGGATTCAATGGAGCCTGAATACCTGCACTGAGACCCTCACCCTGCACGCTGAGTCTCAACTCTGTGTTTTTCAAGCCTTTCCCTGTTTTTTGTATTAAACAAAACATTAAGCTTTCCCAATGGTGTGGTTTTCGTTTTGTGAAAAAGTGCAAATGCAGTGTTTGTATATAATTACATCAGATATGTTTTTGCTGTTGGTTGTGAAATTGCTCCTGCTGACTTGAGCCAGACATGTTTTCCGCTCTGTGTCAGTGGGGAAGCCGTACATTTGTACTCCTTTCTCAGAGCGATTTGAGCATCCCCAGGCAGCACAGCAAACCATGGTGGCGACTAGGAGGCAGCACAGCAAACCAGGACAACACGGAGGAAAAGGCACAGACAAACTGCATGATATGCTATTCAATGTTTATTGAATTCCATGTATTTGCAATGGATGTTCCTAAAACAACACATTTAACATCATCATCATCATGCTGCTGCTGCTAGTCCTTTGATAGTCACCTGTCCTTTCTGAAAGCCATAAAGATGACATTAGTCATTTAGATAACTTGTGTCCTCAATTACCATGGTTACTGAAACTACCATGAATTTAAGAAAATGGTAGACATTAATCTAATCTGAATTTGAAAGCATTACTTTAGATCCCCTCCCTCTAAATATATCAATAAACATTAGAAAGTGATGCTCCTGACTACCATACAAGTTTAAGAAGATAATATTGGTTTTAAAGAATTCAAAGCTATAAATAAACAGCAACAGGCTCTTTAACCAAGGCACTGCTAGCCTAACATGTAAACTCATTGTTCACACTAATCTTAATATTAGCAAATTCTATTTTATTTTTAAAAACATATTGATGTAAATACATACACATATCGATTTGTTGTATAAATATTGCAAATCAAAACCTTTATTCACTAATAATTACCAAAAATCGTAGTTCTATCTCCTGTTATCAGTGCATTCACATTGCCCGCCATGAACTTCCGGGGAACGATCCTCGTCTACATGAACCACGTGACGATAACCGTTTTTGGACTTCCGTTGTCGTAACTCTTCTATCTATATGGCACTGGTTGACAGGTAAGTTACGAGCTACGCCACACCCTTGTATTTATACTTCCGAATATGCAACTAGAAAGACTACAAATCCCAGAGTCGCATAAGTGAATTTAGCTAGCTGACATTAACGTTACACATTACACTCGTGTTACTCACCGAAACCTTGTAAAGCCGGTCCCGCATGCTGGAACCGGCTTGGTGTTGGTGACGTATGCAAGACCAGAGTTGTAGTTCATTGAGCGCTTCACACAACAAAATGTATTACTTCACAGTTTTACGGTACATTTGTATTTTTTTTACTAGCAAAATTATCTTTTAAATTGACAAACATCATATGTGTAATTCGTTGCACAATTCAAACGGGATCAAAAGATAATCTTTCTCTCTCCATTGACTTCAACCGGAAGGGGAGGGACTTCGCCGGTGTGGCTGATGTGTTTTAACCACACACATCTCTACAAACACACACACACACACACACACACCAGTGGCAGCTGGTGGAAACAATTTTTGGTGGGGCTATGGAAATAGGGACCAAACCATACTAGGGCGGTCCGGGGGGATCCTCCCCCGGAATACTTTTTTGAGAAATGACCCCTTAAATTATGATGGGGGAGGACAACTTGAGGCTTAAAATATGAGATAATCCATAATCTTCAATGTGGTTAGCTATGAATCTTCCAAAACTGCAACAGTACAGTAGGCCCACACAAACTGCAGAACACTGGTGCTTTGGGAACACTCAAATTATGTAATTCCCATTTAAAATCAGGAGACTAAATACGGTGTGTGTGTGTGTGTGTGTGTGTGTGTGTGTGTGTGTGTGTGTGTGTGTGTGTGTGTGTGTGTGTGTGTGGTGTGTGTGTGTGTGTGTGTGTGTGTGTGTGTGTGTGTGTGTGTGTGTGTGTGTGTGTGTGTGTGTGTGTGTGTGTACTCAA